CAACAATAGCATTGATTATTGTAGCCTCCCAAAACCACAACGCTATTGATGGTAACTCTGGGTGACATGCCTCGTGGATAAAATTCACGAGCCGAATGTATGGATAACACTGCAGTGGGGCAATCCCATTAGGAGATGTGGGTATTGGTTCGGTGGAAGCGAAAGCCCTGTACCCACGGGTTCAAAGATATCCTGTAAGTTATCACCTGTCTAATGCTAACGGAGGCCCTGATTATCGATTTTAGGGGACTCGGTAGGGTTCGCAGCGTGGTCCCCTGTTGCCGCAAAACAGATAAGGTGTTGGGAAAGAGCCATCCTTTCTTGGCGCGTGCTCAAGCATAGTGTAGAGAGGTACCGGTGCGCTCCGTAGGAGATGTCAGGGTTCCTGACTGAAGTTTGAAACCGAGTAGGTTTTAGTTGATACGAACCTCATATAAACCTTTCTTCCCATATCGAGAGGGTATTTTTGAAGTTTTCTGCTAATCAAAAAGGTATTTGGAGCTACTGTTGGAGCCGTAGTTGAATTGAAAGAGCTTACATACATTTTATATAAGACGAAAACTGTCGTTAGGCCATTCACGTAACACGAAATCGAAATAGGACGCTTTTGTAACAGAGAACAATTTCGAAATCCAGTTAACTGGGCAATATACAAAATTTCAATCAACTCAGTGCCAGTAAAACATTGAATCTTCCATGAAGACGCTTAATGAAGTTTCAAAATTGGAAATAATTGTTCAATGAGTTTTTAAGAGCGGTCGTTATTTAACTATAAAATATTTAGTATTTTGTTCTACTCCGTACAAGTTTAGTGGTACGAATACGTTTTATAACTGTATTTTTTTAGGTTAATTACAAAGATGCACCTTAATGAATAATATAATATAATGTAATTAGCCATTATGTAATATTACAAAAATAAATATATCATATAATAGAATATTTAATGTCTATTTATATAATATGATATAAATAGACATTAAATAATCATTCAGATATCAGAATTCATTTTGGAACAACAATGAAACCTCTTTTGTGGTTTCATTTGTTTATGATTTTTTACTTCATATACATACGGAATGATAATTACTTCGATTTCAACAATTTTGTTATGAAGATGAAAAATCCTGCCCAATATAGCTCAAGTTTACAGACTTTCTTTTTTTAACCTTGTTTACCACCAGTCGAAGAAAAAATCTCTTCAACATTCTTTACGAATCATGCGGCGTAAGTAGGTTTAGCCACAGTACACGAATGAAAATTATAAACATTAGATGAGCCCTTAATATATACGTGTACTGAGATGGCGAAAATGCAATACTCACGCCTGTTTCCAGAAACACTGATCATCGTAAAATTAACTAATCAGCTGTCAAATGGCTTCTCAAAGAGCTAAATGAGTCTCTTTGAATAAAGAGTCTCTTTGAATATTGTTCTGATGAACTTTTTTACTTATTTAACCATCCTTTTGGCAACTCATATGACATTTGACAGTTGATTAGTTAATCTCTACGATGATCAGTGTTTCAGAAACCGGGCGTAAGCTTTATAGTGATATGGGTTAATTATGTTCTATAATGTGGAGTCAAATATGACAACAGGATTTATTACGCTCCTTAGTGTGGATAGATGACATACGATGGCAGAAAGTTAAACGTACTGAGAAATTATTATTAACAATTGATAGTGTTTATTTATTTTATTTTATTTCAAAAATGAACATAATACGAGTTAAAAAACTTTTTATCGGCAGATATATTTTTATTTATTTCACTCTGAAGATATTTTTAGATAAAGAATAAATAAAAAAAACAGAAAAAGTCCACTTTGTCAGTTTTATCAATATAATTGTTATTAATAAACACGAAATTATGAATTTATGAATTTTTCTAGTCTAAAATACAATACGTACTCATTCCTAAAAGGCCGGCAACGCATTTGTAAGCCCTCGGGTGTTGCAGATGTCCATGGGCGGCGGTGATCACTTACCATCAGGTGAGCCTCCTGCTCGTTTGCTGCTTTTTTCCCATAAAAAAAAAAAAAAAAAAAAAAAAAAAAAAAAAAAAAAAAAAAAAAAAGAAGGAAATAAATTTAACACCGTGAATAGAACCCTTGGATAAAGATTCATCAAAATTGTCTTGATCACTATTTATGGATGTATAAGATCGTTGCATTCAAAATGTTTCCATTTGCATGCGAATTCATTTGACATTCAAATTGACGTGCATTTAGTAGTTTCCTTATGGGCATATCAGCCAGTTTCGAATTGATTTTCGAATTTGGATTCGACAAAGCGAAGAACATTCGGTTTGCTTAATAGTCATACTATCGTCAAATATTGTGCTGATTTTCTGAGTTGTACATGCAGAGTTCTAAACGTCAACTTGTGATACGTTGAATCTGATTTCAAACTAGCGATATAATAGTTGTTTCGTTCACGAGGTGGCAATAAGGTGTTATTTTGGAGATATATTAACGTCCTAGAGTTCCTCGGAATATATTAATAAAAATATAATACGCTTGACCTTTACTCTTAAACACAATTTATCTGTTGATCTCTTAAACACAATGTATCCGTTTATCGAAATCGATAAAACTACTATTGAATTACACTTTTTTTGAGACTTTTTAAGTTAAACAGAAATGAAACATATTAACGAATGACGCTGATAACGACGTTATAAAGTCTTATTAAAATTATTATCAGAGAGGGTGATAACTATCAGTAAAATATAAAACCATTGCATAAAGTACAGCATTTATATTTATTTTCGAAACAAAAACTTAGGGAACACAATTAATTAATGATACAAGAAGCAGTTTTATGGTACTTAAATACACGTTAAAACTTATATAATTTGTACACCATTCTCGTAATGAAATAAATCTGCAACATCTGCTGCTATAAAAATATTTTTTTTTGCAATAAAGAAACAATCAAAACAATAGGTTTTATTTCTGTAACAAAAGGTTTTATTTCGGTTAGTAGCCCAACTATAAAATAAATGCGCGACCTAGTCAGTTACTAGCGTAGTAGTAGTACCTCACTGAGTTAGATTAGAACTGTTATTACCTTTATATCCATGATAGATCATATTTAGTATATTCAGTTCACATATTAAAAAAAGACGCGTCTTTCTTCGATCAGCCGAAACTTCTTCCGTACCAACTACTAAATTAGAAAGGTCATAAATCTCAATCTTACATTAACGGTAAATAAATTTAGGTAAATGTAGATATAAAGTCTAGATTAAAATGAGCAATAGCCCGTTCAATTTATAGCCGGCCAACAGTTGATCTAAACTGTTGTCCTTTTGTATAAAGATATATACAGGTAACATTTACCAAAATCATATTCACAGGTATTATTCAAATCATATAAATTTTATATAAAAATAATTATGTAATTTTTTTATAAAATTGTGTTTAAAACAACTTGATGGTAGGCGATAAATTAAATGATAGATTATATTTTAAAGGATGGTAAAGCCTAATGGGCTTATAGAGAGAGTAATATTAAGTTACGAGCTCCTTTGAACTCTGATATTTTGTGTAAAAATTTAAAGAGTATGGATAACTTGACCGCAGACATTTGGGCAGTGTAAAATACACGATTATCACAATTATAAATTTTTAAACACAAAACATATCAACGACTAGTATTAGAGTAATAATGCTCCACAGCAAGGATAATCTATGAGCATCCTCTTCGTGTATTAAGGTTTCAAAGCTAGGCAGATTCTAGTGTAGATTATCTAGGAGCCAAACTTCAATTAACTGCCACAATAGATTACAAAAAAAAAAATGTAATACACTGAACAGTCATTATAGTTTGCTTTGATTTTCTATTGTTGTAGTTGACATTCATAACCGCAGTATTAGTGTTGCGTTGCTGGAAGTGACATACAGCATCGGTTAAGCAATTGATTAAACCAAGTAAATCACGTTTTAATCAAAAAAACTTTATGAAGGTTCTTTAATCAAATAAAACTGAATCGATCGCATTGATCGAAAACTGTATTGATTGAATTTTATGTATATTGAAATATATCTACATTTTATGTATACTTTCTAAATGATTTAGTGAGAAATGGTTTAAGATCAAAAATCTACACATCTTTTTCGAAATTCATTAATTTATCCAACATTCATAACATTATATCTAAAATTACATATTATTGTTAACGTAACATATTGTTGTAAATGTTGGATAAATAAAGTGTGTTAATATTATAGTTATATAATACTATTACAGTATACTTTTATCGTATTCTAATTTCATATAAAGCGGAGGAATTAGGTAAATCGTCTAAATGAAGACTAAAGTGTGTCACGGTCTATTGAGACGGACCTTAAGCCCGTCGGTAAATCTTGTAAAAGCTAATTTGGGATAAGAAAAGGAATTATCGTTTTCATCGGCCACGTCAATGTCAGGAGGAAACCATTACGGGCGAGGTCGGCCGCGGGAGCCGAGCCTTTATCCGTAACTACGGACGTGGAGTGGATTCATTGTACTTTTGTCTAACATAGCTTCCACAGATTGATGGCCAGCCATTTGGTTTGGAAGCGAATGACACATTGAATTCTTATTGCATCGCTACAAGGATCTCCCAGTGATATTAAGTCCGTGAGAATTTCTTCGCAATCCTTGCAGCAGTTGATAGATAATTAAGAGAATTTTAAATTGATTTGACAAAACCTACGTCAACGTATTGTCAATAATAACCTGTACAAATTTCGTTCCTTTTATCTTAAATTAATAACATTTAATCTAAACAGACTTTTAAGGCCAGTCACAGTCCACAAATCTAGTTACCTAATTGTCTGACACTATGTACATATTTAGTTATTTTAGCTCATCCTTTTTATTTGAAAGCAAGGAATAAAAGAACGTGAGAAGTTGAAGATTGAGAATGAACGAGAAAAAGATGTTCGCTTGAAGTTTGTATGAATTGCAGAAAATTTTTTTTGTTTCGACAAATCCGTTGTCTTTGTTGCAGTGTTCGATGCGTCTGCCAAATCACCGCAAGGGCTCCTATTCGGTTCTTCCTACCATCTAGGGAACTTTGACGAGTGTGTGGGAATTGACGAGCCCGGTGGGAAAAGAGACGCAGTCGAAGGCGAATACTGCCTTGCAACAATCAAATGGAGTCATGGAGAGGAAATGAAAAAGGTTCGAATCTACCCGAGTTATAAAATAAATTAAAAATGATATAAATAGTTTTGCCTTGCCTAAGCCTGAAAGTTAGAAACAAACGCTTCAATCAAATATCACAATATTTTTTTTTTGTAAACGGTACTTTATTTCTGACACGCTATGAAAAATAATTAAATTGCCGTTGAAATTATTACTAAACGATAAAGACAATATTTAAGTCGCACAATATCGTGAATTATACATAAATCAGTTTAAAAATTGAGTATATCATAGTAGATAATACGAATAAGAATTGTCCATTCCTGAGAAAGAATAAAAATGTACCTTATATAGCAGTCGTGCACATTTTCTGAGACAAAGAACTCGATATAATCAAAATATGCTTTAGTTTTAAAAATATTGTAATACAATGTCTCATAGAAAATGTTAATCTTGTACAGTTTCGTTTTAGGTAAGATTCGGACGTGGTGAGACCCTACGGTGGGCGGTGTGCGTCCCCAGCTCATGTAGTGCCAAAGCGGTGGCCGGGTTTGTTAGTGATGTTCTGACACACACAGTTGGAAACAGCACAGCGGTGCTGGTCACTGAGCGCGACTGTTATACGCGGCGACCCATGATCGTTACCAATCTCGACATTGGCTACTCGTAAGTATTACTTGTGAGATAAGCAGTACTCAAGATTAGTATGCAATTTCGCACCCATTTACCGTTTTAAGGGTTCCGTACCCAAAGGGTAAGTCGGGATCCTATTACTAAGACTCCGCTGTCTGTCCGTCTGTCACCAGGCTGTATCTTATGAACCGTGATAGTAAGACAGTTGAAATTTTCGCAGATGATGTATTTTCTGTTGCTAATGGTAGTTCAGTTGTTCTATTGATGTTGTTAATAAAAAATATGTAAGTGGGGTTCCCATACAACAGACATGAATGTTTTTGCCTTTTTTATAAAACGGTACGGAACTCTTTGTTCGTGGGTCTAACTTGCACTTGGCCGATCTTTACGAACTGCAACCTTAACCTATGTTTTGGGTAACACTAGTACACGCTTTTAATTACTTTTAATGTCTTTTATCTTTTTACTCTTGCCTTTAGACACTCGCAACACCCTTTTTATAATTAAGTGAAAATTTAGTTTCTCTCTTGTAGGTCATTTATGCTGGGCATCATCGTTGTTCTTATATTATGCACGCTGTACGAAGTATACGCAATATCAAGCGGCATGAGTAAAACTACGGTCGCACATGAATTGGTCGTATCATTTTCGCTCATAAACAATTTGAAGAAAATCTTCTCGACCAAACAGAACAACGGCCTCGGCTTGGAATGTATATCTGGCATAAAGTCTATTGCCATGGTATTTATTGTCGCCGGCCACGCTTGCCTCTTTATTGGCAGTGGGCCGTGATGGATGCTGAGGCTTGGGATCGCGTGAGTGCACTATTTCAAAACTATGTTCTTCCTCTCTCCTCTCTCTAAAAAACAATAAATAAACCTGTGCCATAATAGTAATATTACTTAACAAAATACCACTGTTAAAGTTGGTCACATAAGTTATAAAAAGTTCTCATAATTTAAATGATCAATTTTCCTTAACCTTAATAAAATCTTTATACACAACTTCCATATAATATGACCTTCACATATATCGGCAGTTCTTGAAACCGTTCATGTCCATTTACATTAAATGTTGGTGTAAATTGTTTACCAATTTCTTAAAATTAATCGTGCTACAGAGTTAAGGTAAGTTGTATATGTCTATAATAGTCTTAAACAACAAAACACGATAATCGAATCAATAAATTACGAATCAATGTTGACGACGATGGATTTTTTTCTTAAATGAATATCACAACTCCATGAAAAGAGCAGAAAATTGTTTTTAAACAACTGAGGTAAAAAAAGACATTTAATGATACCGCTCTTCTTGAATTTTGGCCATGATAATATAACCATTTAAGTACCAGACTTGATTATGGTTAAACAAAAACAGCAGCAACGACGGCGTTTTAAACACGCTTTTATAAAATGACATCATCTACACTTTCCTTCTCAAATATTTAAAATTTATAGTAATCATAAACCTCAGAGGAATAAAACACTCAGAACTAAACTTTGGTAGCGCTACACAACAGTATTTTCTGTTGCACGACTGGGGAGGTCTGTCCGGGTAAGTACCTCACAGAAGACCGGCGTTAAAGTGTTATAATTCTGCGTTTTTTTGGTGAGTTAGGTAGCCGGGGCCCACTTTATTAAAAGGTGATAACGCATCTACAGCCCTTTCATGATGTTGTGAATGTCAATGGGTGGCGGTTATCACTACACATCAGGTGAACCATCAGCTCAAATGTCACCTTCTCACGTAGAAAAAAAAGAAAGATCCAGAACTATTCTTATCCGAGTGTTTCACAAGTACGTGGCCCGTGTAGGATCTATCCCTTGACCGTAACGCCAAAACCAAGAGCACTGCGCCGCTAGTTATCGTTTCTATTCACAATTTTACAACATTTTTTAATTCTAAAAATGTATTCATGCTTTTTTCAGTTGATACGTCAGCCTGCCAATGCGTTTATGTTAAGTAACACGTTACTCGTGGACACATTTCTCATGCTGAGCGCTTTCCTTTTTTGTCGCCTTTTACTGATCGAGTTTGATAAACGTCGTGGTAAACTAAACGTCATACCGATTCTGGTGTTTCGTTATATAAGGTAACTTGAATAAAGTTTTTTTTTTCAAATATTTTTATGGCGAAAGCTAACTCAATTTGCTTGCTTTGACAATTAGTTTTTAAAATAGAATAGAATTCTTAATCGAAAATCAGTTCTCATACTTCTGGTTACTATTCAATATTTAAATTAAATAGCTATGTTATGGAACTTATGACCTGACAAATTACTTAAAGACATTTAACTGTAGTTTGACGTATACGTGACTTATTATTAGTTAATTTATTTAATTATATTTGTTATTAGTTAAAGTATTTTAAGTTAAGAACTATGGTTCTTAACTTAAAAAAAGAAGAAGTATGCTTCGATTACATAAAGCCACCCAAAGCTGAATATGTAAAAATAATGATAACTTGCAACCTGAAAGCATAACAATAACTTAAGAAGACATTGTATTGTTCACGTTTATTTTGTTAATTGTGATTTGTTCACTATAATCTCTTTTCAGGATAACACCCGCGTATGTTGTTGTGATTTTGTTCTACATGACTTGGCTGCCGAAAATAGGGGAAGGCCCGCTTTGGGTAAACCGGATGCAATTGGAACAAGAACGCTGTGCAGAAAACTGGTGGGCGAATATTTTATACGTAAACAACTACATTAGGACAGAAAATTTGGTAAGCTGTGACAGCTTGTCAATCTGCTAAATAAACTTTTACTAAACCACAAATATTCAATGAGTATTACCAATTTACTTTCAGTGTATGTTCCAATCTTGGTACCTGGCGGTAGACACGCAACTGTTCTTCGTTGCACCTATTTTCATTTACAGCCTATGGAGGTGGCAAAGATTTGGCAGTGCTTTCTTGGCGCTAGCTACGTTTACTTCCCTTGCTATACCATCGGTAATCACATACAAAGAACACCTGGATCCAACTTTACTGTTTTATGCTAAGTAAGTCTTAAGTACAGGCGAAAGACATGCATTCGTTTGATATTTCAAAGAAATGACAGAAAATATCTTAGTGGGAGTTGTTAATATGTATTTTTTAATTAATTTAAGTGTTAGCTCTAAGTTTGTTCTACGATTTAAATCTATCTTACCGTTAGGTGAGACTACAGTTAGTAATGGTTTCTTTTTTTATAAATATATTTTTTTTAATTTTTATTAGAGTGTTATTACTTTCAATTTGCAGATAAACTTATTTCTTTGTTACAAAATGTGAAATAAAGCTATTATTATTATTATTGATTTATTAAGAATGTTACATTTTTTAAGGGAATTCACGGACTTCGTAACTAACTTTTACTTCAGAGAAGTATATATTAAGACGCATATGAAAATGACACCATATTTTATGGGTTTACTGACGGGATATATATTGCATCGAATACAATCCGAAAAGTAAGTTAAACATTGATTTTTTACAGTATTTAATCGAATATTCTCATTTTCTTTGTGTTATATTAATTAATGGTCAATTTTTTTGGATAATCATACAGTTTATTGGTGTTTTTGTTTATTTACAACATTAAATGTAACTAAAATTACATATTATCTAATAAACCTGATCCACGCGGCATAGTGCCAAGAACGCTAGCTGAGTTTCCTCGCTGAATAGTTATGCTTAACCTTTGAGAGAGAAAAGAACCAGCTCTCTTGTCACCTGCCGCGGCGTTAAGCGTAGGACAAACATTAAAAAAAAAATTAATTTGCTAGGACCCCGCGTACTTAAAGTTTCAACAGCAAATGGCACAAATACATAATCTAAACATAAATATTCATATTTCCGGTATTTACTTACTTCAACTGCCCCCGATGGTTAAGTAATGAAAGTCAATGTTATAGTAGGTATTTCTACACAAAAAACATTTTTTTGGACTGTTATTTCTTTCCAGCTATAAGCTGTCTCGACTGATGAAGACGTTTGGTTGGATAACCAGTATTATTTTGGGCACTGTGGCAGTTTTCTCCGTCAGTCTGTTCTATCAAGAATGGTATGAGTACAGCAGAATAGAAGCAGCTGCCTACGTGTCCCTGCATAAGTTAGCCTGGAGCATAGCCAACGGGTGGCTTTTAATAGCTTGCGCTACCGGAAATGGAGGTGGGACATCATTTTTGCTGTCTCTCTGTCTGTCCGTCTATCACCAGGCTGTATTTCATTAATCGTGATGTTAGACAGTTAAATTTTCACAGATCATGTATTTCTGTTGCCACTATAACAACAAATACTAAAAAACAGAATTAAAAAACGTAGAATAGGCTGAATTCGTAAAGACAGGCAGAAAGACAGATATACATAAAAATATGTATGTAAATTATAGCCTATGTGTTATTCTAATGTATAAGCTATATTATTGTAGTCTCAGATGTATTAGTACGTGGAAGAGTAACAAACATCCATCCATACATACAAACTTTCGCCTTTATAATATTAATAAGGAAGGATGTTACGGAACCCTTAAAAGTTAAAAGTTAATTTATTTATTGCAGCCATTATAACGTGCCAATATCCGTCGTACCCATGTCATCTGGAAAATACCTTAAATAGAAATAGCGTTCTAATTTATTCATGTTGTATTCAAATAATACGCCTAACCAGTATAGATTATTTGTGTCAGTGGCTACAAATATCTTTGATGAGTGGCACACTGGATGATATTAAGAACGCCATAAATCAAAAAACAATAGTCTTCTTAACATTTGGTAAAATGGTGATTGCAGGATTCCGCTGTCACAACCTTATTATCTCGATCTTGGTTAGATTCCTTAGGGTAGAAGTTTTGTTTTGCTGGCGACTGTAATACCCAACGTTCGAACAATATTCTTTCTTACAGGCATACTTAATATATTATTGACGTGGAAAGCGTTTGTGCCGATATCAAGGTTGACATTTTGTGCGTACCTCGTAAACGGCATTGTCGAATTATATTACGTGAGCCAATTAAGACACCCTCTTCACGTCACGTTCTTCACCATGGTATGTAATATTCTAATTTTTTTTAAGTAAGAAAGTGGCAAACGATGCAAGGCAAGCTGGTGGTTCACCTGATGCTAAGTGACAACCTCCGCCCGCGGAAATTTTCAACGTAGGGTTGCAGACGCGTTGCCACTTTGCCATCAAAGTGGTCCCCGCCAACCTCACTCACCAGACGAAATGCAGAAGGATAACACTTCTACTACACGCCGTCTTCTGTGAGGTGGTGGTACTAACTCGGACGACCCTGCCCATTCGTTCAACAGCGAACACTGTTGTATGGCCCTACCACAGTTTAATATCATGAATAATGAATAATTACGTCTCAAATAATTTCTAATATATTCGCTTTTTAATGGCTATAACAAGGATGCTTCTTTAATTCATTACGAAAAAATCAATGTAACAATGTTACAGTCAAAATTTTACTAATGTTTGATTATTAATTGTATTTTGCATTCTTGTAAACGTTGATTCTGTTTTAAACCAGATGGTAAAAATATTTCAACATGACGTGTTATGAATGTTTATTTTTAATTTAATTAGAAAAGTTATTTTTTCCAGATGGCAAATAGTGTTGCACACATTATATTGACGTTTTTCCTGGCAATAATATTGTGTGTGATATTTGAATCTCCGATACATGGCATTGAAAAAATTCTCCTGAGGATATTCGGTAATTATCTTTAAAAAGAAATGTATTATTGGTAATCAATTATAAAACATATTAAAACTCATACGGAAGTATTACGTCTGAGTTAGTCTATATTTTGTCATGACGTTGCCAATATCTTATAGAAGAAAATTGATAGACTTAAAGATAATTGCAAGCATAGTTTAAAAACAAAACAAAACACTTACTCCTTACAAGAATAAAATTGAAAAGTAAAGGCAGTGTTTTTGAATTGGGTAATAAACAATAAAGTAACATAACGTCATCATCATTATAAGCCGCAAGAACATAGAGCCTCCCCCTTAGAACGCCGCAACGAACGCCACTTTGCCATAACATAACATAACGTATGTATGCGTTAATTTTGGGGACGGTCAAATAGAAAGTCAGTTCGTATCTCGAAGGCTCTCTGTTGTTACAAATGTACATTTGTACTATGATCATTGCTGCCCATAAGTACTTATGTAAATATACATAAGTACTTATGGGCAGCAATGATCGCTTACCATTTGCTCATTTAACACTCTATTCTTTAAAAAAGGAAAAGTGAATTGGTTTCTTATCTGCGATCTATGGCACTCCTCTCTTTACAAAGTAAGTTAAGATAGTAGACAATTAAAAGCCAGCTGTTCGAAGGCTTGGTGGGCGAAATTGTTAAGTAATTAACTCGTTGGCCACGGGTCGCTGTCAATTGTCGGTCGGCTGACCCGAGGAACATATTTATGTGACCTACAGATAATTCCATGGATTCGGTTCTCTTTGTGCGATGTGTATGTAGATCACGCTTTCAATCAAGGATAGTAAAATAATACTGTAGAAGAAATAATACTGCAGAAGTTATAGACCTAATTTAATACTATTTGTTTGTTCCAGCGCGACCAGTTCTGAGTGACAACGCGAGGCGGGATCTGTCAGAGGAATCGTCGAGAAATACTAGTCAATCAAAATTAGATGCTTAATATAATTTGTATGCCAGCACGATCCATTAGTTTGGTGATGTACCAAGTTGATTAAAGTTATGATTAATTGGCGCAGATTCATTATATCATGTAATGGTACAAAGAGTTTAGTACAATGATGTAACTATTCGTTCAGCCAGCATTATTTGGACAGTGTCGAAACCTTGTGTCTAAGTCTCAGGGCGCTAAAAAAGAGGAAATATGATTTGCCCTAGTGCAGCGGGTCGTGGTTTATTTTTCAATCGAGACATTTATTTTTAGTATGTAGATAAATGTAGTATCCTCAAATAAAGATCCGACCAAGTGCAATTAAATTAGGCTACAATAGCTACGATGTTAACTTAGGTTATGAATAGAATATGTGTATCTTCGCAATATATGAATATATGAATGATTTGAGTATATTGGTGATAACAGTTTTCATTTGTAAATACTCATAAGGTTCCACTGTGTAATGTACATAATATTAAATAGCTTCTTTGGTTTACGGTGTTACTTTGCTGCTACAAAATAATTACACAAACATGGCTGCGGAATATGATATTATATTCCGATGTATGATTTACATTCCCAAATTTTAGTAATAGTTTTAGGCGGCAGAACGTTGCATTTGAAGTGTTTAAAATAAGAGATTTGGTAGTTAACTTCTGAAAACCAAATGTGACTTTTAAGTTTTTTAATGTTTATGTTCGACTATGTTTTTATTTCTTAAGTAAATGTGTAATATGAATGGGAATGTAAGGAATGTGCTCACTGTTTTGTCAATTTTTATCATTAGTTTTATTATTGGTAAGATTTTATACTTGTTTATTCATATTTTTAACAGTTGTGACCAAACTTTTGTAATTGTATCACTTGTTAAAGTCAAATCCTGGAGATCAATCAGACTCATCAAACTTCCGTAATAAAATGTGATTCAACGTCAGTTACAATTTTATTTTTTATTTGTTTAAAAATAAATACGATTCCCGTGTTGTTTGCTCGAAGATAATTATAATGTTCCTTACCAACAACATGTGAAAGGTGTAGGTAATGTTATTTGCTATTTTTTACGATTACCCAACCCGTAACTACTGACTTCCACGCATTTTGGGTATGCATACCAACATAAGCCGTTTGGCTTATGTTGGTATGCATCATTAAGCCATAGTTAAGATGTATATATCATTAAGCCAAATTAAGATGTGAAGTATTTATATATATACCACATGCACATTAAACATATTAAATATTACAGATATTTTATTTCATTTAGTTAAACGTTTTATCATTATTTATTTAACGGTCATTGAAAATTATAGATATTATGCATAATTATTTATGTTATTAATACAATACGCAATTATCATTGAACGTCAAGCTAACGCCTTTGATTCTGTTATTGTATGATTGTTATCGGTCAGCAGATTCAAAGTGCTTCAATTGCTTGTGTACACATACTACGTGTAGATAAGCAATTGAATATCACGTAGAGATAATAAGGTATTAAGTACATCTTAATACTTTGTGATTATCATCAGGATTTATTAAAACATTTCAGTAATTTAAAAAACATAACAAGTGACTTCGTTCCTAACATTGTTTCTATAATAATAAGTGGGTTTTAGGAACCAGTTGTTTTTTAAAAGTGATAATAAGTTATTCGTAAGTCACGTGTTTTAGTCGTCATGAGGTTTTATTTAAAAAATAAACCGGCTAAGTGCGAGTCGGACTCTCGTCGAATTGCAAAATTTAGATTTTCGGAAAACTTCTAAGTACCAGAATTTACTTTAATTTTTAATCCTTTTTATTTTTCGGATTTAATCTGAATTGAATGACCTCAATCTCCTCGTTAAGGATACACAAAGAAGATTAAAATTTAAAAGGAAGCATCTCCGTTACACAGTACTTTTTAAAAGTAATTCTAGTTCTCTTAAAAATCACTAGTGTTACACTCATCAGGTGGGTCAAATTTTTGTCGAAAAAAAAATTTTTTATTTTAAAATATGTCTTTTAAAATTATGAAAGGAAAAAATGGACTCGTTTCAAGTGACGGTTTGAACTTTGAGTACTTAGAGAGATGAATTTTCAATCCAATTTTTAAAAGATCCTCGGAAGCCTTATCGCAAAAACTTTTGAGTTACGTTCATCTATCAACATTCGGGTTTTGCAGAGAAATGTGAGAAAGTTATAGCCGTTATTTAAACATTTTCTCTCTATTTAGTAAATGTAACATTTTAATAAAATCAAACATTGCTAATAATAACTATGTACGGCACTAACGTAAGTAAAATTCTGTTTCAATTAAATATAAAATTAATTAAGTTATTTCTATCGAAACTAACAAGTCAATGAAATAAACTCTATTGAATAAAGAGGTATTGAATATTACGAATATATTTATAAGGAATTTTTAAAAAGAAGCATCAGCACACATTTCACTTTTGTATGAAATTCTAACGAAAATTATATATTTTTTTTTAATTATGGGGGAGGGCTGAAATGTGTTAGGTTGAATTTCAATTGTCAGTACAATTCCTGCTTTTTAGGGTACCGTATATAAAGGGCCTATTACTAAGACTACGCTGTTTGTCTGTCGGTCTGTCCGTATGTCACCAGGCTGTATCTCATGAACCGTGATAGTTATACAGTTGAAATTTTCACAGATGATGTATTTCTTTTGCGGCTATAAAAAAAATACTAAAAAAACAGGATAAAAAATAATTAAGTGGCTCATACAACAGACAAGTTATTTTTTTGCCGTTTTTATAAACAATGGTACGGAATCCGCGCGAGTCGACCCGCACTTGGCCAGTTTTTAGATTGTTTTTGTATATATAATAGTTTTATAATTATTTATATAATTTTAACTGTGATATGGCCACGCAACAGATTCCACTGTTGCATGAATGGGCAGCTCCGTCCGGGTAAGTACCAAAACAGAAAATCGGCGTAAAGTAGAAGTGTACACTTCTGCGTTTCGTCCGGTGAGTGGGGTAGCCTTGGGTCCACTTTATTTAAATGTGTTAACGCATTTGCATGCCTACGGGTGTTGCAAATGTCTATGGGTGGCGGTTATAAATTAACATCAGGTGAACCGCAAGTTCGGTTGCCACTTTTTCACATAAAAAAATAGATAACTGAACATATTTGAAACACTTTATTAATTAGGGGAATATTAACCGCCTGGTCCTTTTGTTGCGGCAGTCTGTGATAAGGGCAATTACACATATTGCGTGTTAAATTTTTCGCCTGAGCTATGCTTTTGATAAATATAAAATGTAATTTTGAAACAAAGATTTGTGTTAATAAAATACGTCCTCCTTTCAGTAGTCATTTTTTTTTTAATTTAGCTAACATTCAGTGTGCAAAATATTGCATATATAAATGAAATGACAAAAATGTTCTACCTACATCAACTTCGCTCCGTTTCCTTTCAATTCGAAATGGAAGGATTTTCGCGTTCCAACGGGAGTAGTGCAGCTGTTCTGGAAGATAAATTTCAGAGCTACAACGTTTCACTAGCTGATCCTTTCTTCCTACACTTTAAATGTCGGTTCGTTTTTAGTTAACAAAGAGCTGCTCCGGTATCAATAATCCTAGCTATGACTAAGTGTTTCTGATAACTAATCCGAACCATCAATGACAACTGTAAGTAGTGAAAGTACCACGCGAAAGATATGTACTTTTGAGACGCACGCCTACCTCACGTATTATACATTTTTCTTCATTATGTTAGTGTATAAATGAAGGAATTAAAAAAATGTAGGACTAAAATTTAACAGTCAAATAGACACTACGATCCCTCACTACAACGAAAAATGTTTAAGTCAACTTTTGAATTATAAAATCCCAGTCTCTGACATTCGCGCTGATGATAAATCGGTGTTTCACTTCCGCATCCAAAACTGATTAATAGCGTAGATGATGCGACAAAAACATGAAAACTTTTCACAGATAGATTAAGTTTAAGTGAGCCATCATTGCCATTCCTGCATCATCATTTATTTATTAACTTCTAGTTTCTTTTTGAGTTGGCTAGGGCAGTCAAAGTTAGTTTGACGTTTTAAGAATGGCCAGCGAAGGAGATGAATGAAAATTATGCTACAAGATGGCAAGTGAGCTAGCGGTTAACTTGATGTTAGTGATAACCGTCGCTCATGGTCATTTGCAACGCAGGTAGGGTTGTAGATGCGTTGTCACCTTTTAATAAAGTGACCAGAGGAAACGCAGAAGTGCAACACTTCCAATTCACGCCGGTTTTCTGTGAGGTCGTGGATGGACCACAGTTAACTAAAACTATTATGAAAGTAAAAAAATATATCTATGTTATTAGCTGCTCACGGCCAAGCATTGCTGGCTCAGTTTATTCTATGTGTATATTTTATACCATTTTAATTATAGTTTTATTATTTAATTTATATTTAATTTTTATTTAAAAGATTTGTGATTAAGCTCAAAATTTATTCATAATTGAGTATAGTTGACTGTATTTAGGAGGCCTTTGTTGGTATTTGAAATTCTTTGTGTGCTGTAAATGATAGATACAATAGTTGCGCCAAGCATTACTTGAAAAGCAAAAAAAAAACAATGTAGATATAGAGAGCTTAGCGCTGAGCTGAGCTTAGGGGATTTCGATGAGACTGAGATGCATAATTATTATCTTAATTATGTTTTAAAAAATATCCATTAATAATATCATTACTAAATTAAGATACTAGTAAAACTTGTATCGTGCCGATATTCAACGGCTATATACTCTGAATCGTAGGCTGTTGATAATGTTAATGATGTCATCATTATGATATTTAATTAATTATAAAACATGTAAATTAAACTGTAATAAGCTACAAGTTTGACTTTCGTAATTCCTTTACTGATCTTTTTGTCAGGAAACAACAGATTGTTTAAAGCAAAGCCGAGCAAAATGCAAAGTTTAACCTTTGAAATGGCCGGTTACTCAGTAACATTATAACACAAAGTTTGGTATAAGCGGAAACCAACCAACTTCGTTTATG